ATTTGTAATAATGCCTGATGAGACAGGGGTATATATTGAGGGATCAGACTGAAATATTTTGTTATTACTATAGAATATGTATTTTCTTTGTATTTTTTTCCCTTTAGTCCAAGTATATTTTGTAGATGCTGGTAATAATAGTATTTTTTGGTTGCACATTTTCTCCTTTTCCATCTTCTTCTGGAATACCCTGTGTCCAGACTACCAGTTTTTAGCCTAGTCATTAACTAAAATGCCAATGAAACAGAAAGATGTCTCTCACTTCCCTTACCACAAAAAAAGACAGTGAAACAGCTGTGTTTGTCATCAGCCACAGTGAGTGCGCTCACAGTGCTGTGAATGCAGATTGACCTGGTGATTTTCTGCCCTGCCCTTGTGAGACCCAGCCTGGACTGTGGCACACAGCTCTGGGCTGTCCAGCACAAGGATTCGGAGCTGTTGGAGCAAGTCCAGGGGAGGCCGTGGAGTTGCTAGGAGGACTGGAGCAGCTCCCTTGTGGAGACAGGCCCAGAGAGCTGGGGCCGTTCGGCTGGGAGAAGAGGGGATTGTGTGGAGACCTCACAGCCCCTCCCGGTGCCTGAAGGGGCCTTCAGAGGAGCCAGAGAGGGCCTCGTTGTGAGGAACTGTGGTGACAGGACAACGGGGAATGGGTGCAGACTGAAAGAGGGAAAAATTTACGTTAGGTAATAGGTAAAATTCTTTATAGTGAGGTGGTGAGGCACTGGAACAGGCTGCCTAGAGAGGCCGTGGATGCCACATCCTTGGAGTTATTCAAGGCCAGGCTGAATGGGGCCCTGAGCAGCCCGTTCTGACGGAAGGTGTCCCTGCCCAGGGCACGGGTATAGAATGAAATGAGCTTTGAGGTCCATTCCAAGCCCTTAACATTCTATGGTTCTGTGGTTCTGTGACTCGCAGCCTGTGCAGCCCGGGCTGTGACCGCAGCAGAGCACAGGCTGGGTACGGCCTGCGGGACGGGCAGTGCTGCAGGCAGAGCCTCGGGTACTCGCGGGGCAGCTTCTGCGGAACTGGAGACAAAGGAGCAGCTGGGTCAGAGGGAGTGCTCTCCCAATCCCCCGTACTCTCAGTGGACACTTTTCAGTTGTGTAACTTGCCTTGGCCTTTAACGTTTTCTGCCTTTGGGGCATGCAAACACCTCTTACCCTTTCACCAAATATTTGCTTGCACTCTTGTTACAAATTAGTAGAGAGGTTTCACACCCGGCTCTTAGGTAATTGGGAACTACTGGGTCAGTGTGGCTGGGCTGGCTTGCACTACAGTACTTGTTGTAGAAATAGATGTTTGACACTTTGAAATGGATTTTTTTTTCTGATTGACTTGAAGTGCATATATGAGGTAGTAAGCAGAAGCAATGATCATAAAGGACAACAATTATATTTTTCTTGAAACCCAAAATAAATATTACCTTTGCTATTAGCTGAGTAAAATATTGTGTTAAGCAGCAGTATTTTTTAAGCAGCAGTAAGAGAAACACAGTTTCCTAAGGCTATTTGTGATTTTGTTATTTCAGGTAGAATGTATATATTTAAACTTGTATCAGGATCCATTACAACTGATTTCCCCTCTCCTTTTTTGTTGGGACATAGGTACCAGTATTTACACTGTACAGGCACAGTGAGAGCTCTCAAAATCTCAGGCTTTGAGCTTCTATTGCATAGCCAGAGCACAGAAGTACTTCTGAAAACTGGTCAGGTTTGGTTAGGCTTTCTCTGGATTTTCACTGCACTTTGTGATGTACCAAAATGTGCAAGAGGAAAATACGTAGAAATCTGCCTGTGAGAAAGAAAGAAAAATGAACTTTTTTTCCCTATGAGTAACTTGCATGAATATTGCTGGAGTTTGTTTTTATAAAAGCACTGACATGATGTAAAAACTGAGTAATTTCCTTCAGTTTCTTTTCCTTCAATCTTTGTAACCCCAACTAAGCTGTAATTAACCACCAGATTCTTCTAACTCTTACTGCTGTTTCATCAGAATCTTTTCAGCTGTGGAAATGTTCTCTCATTCTTGTGTGTGTTAGGTATAAATCTGGAAAATCAAAACTTTTAGAGAGCCTCACAGTATGCACTCATTTGTTTATTGTGGTGCATCTTCCTTTGCTATGTGGTATTTCCTACCCTTGGAGTAATCTATTTTGTGTCAACTCTTTTTGAAATCCCAGCCTTGTTCTGTCCTGTACCGGAACAAATTCAGGACGACTAAATACCAACTAAGTTCCTTTCCAAAAACTGACTAGCTGAACACCCACGTACTTAGGTCAACTCAAAATTATTTTTTTTTACTGTGTAAAACCACTTTTCCAGTTACAAATCCTGAATGCTCACTGTAGTTTCCAAAATGTTTAGATCTGCCTGGATGCTAGAGAAATTGCAAAAATGGTTGTTACTTACTCATACTGGCTTGTTTTGGAAGATTTCAGAACTTCCTGACAGGAGTCAGCCCCCTGAGCACTTACACTGAAGTCAGAATTGTGTCTCCATTTGATGTTGGCAAGAGCTCTGGTGCAGAGGAACCAGACTTCCTCTGGTGTTTCTTTTAAACTAAAAACAATCTGCTTTGCAGATTCCAGTTTTCTTCACAAACTAGTACACAACCCTTTTCCTCTCTAATGTCATCTTCCTTACCAGGTTACTTTCCTAACACTGTTTGAAGCAGACAGAAAATGAAGTTGTGTTTTCTTCCAAACATGCTATTCCATAGTAAATTGGATCCCTGGCAAGCTTTTTAACACCAGAAGAAGGATTGTAAGCAGTGTTGTTGGTATACTTTCACTATTGAGCCTTTAGAGTGTTTTGGGCTTGGGCTAATAAAAGCCTTTCCTAGTTATGATAATAATTTGCTGCCTTAATAAAGTGAAACTGCATAGGATAAAATTTGTAGCTACACATACTTCATTTGATTTTGAATTACACTTAAAAATTCTAGTAGTGTGTGTAAATGCTGAGTAAGTTGATTCTGTTCAGTTTGGTGAGTCAAATGCTGAGAAGATTAAGGCATTTCCTCCTCTGAGAATACTCACTTCCAGAGGCATAAACCCTCTCTGTTCCCCATACACACTTTTGCTCTTACTTAGTCCCATAAGCTTTTGTGACTATTTAAAAGGGTTTTTTTCTGTATTAAAAAATATAATTGCTAGTTGTTTCCTAGATTTGAGATAAATTAGGAATAGAGGAACGTCTCTTCTGTTCTGGAAGATGTGCTTTGATTTCAGATGAGCCTGGCTACAGAACAGGAATAGAATGTTGTATATTATCTGTCTGAAACTTTTATTTAAGGTTATAAAAATGAGATTTTACTTAGGTAACATCTCTTCCATCTCTGGCAGCCCATAAAGCACAGTGTCAGTCAGGAGTAAATTGGAATTTTTGTAAACACCCAGCATATAAAAGGCATAAGTGAAGCATTACCTCATCAGTGAGGTTTCCAGCGTGAGCACTGTAACGTGTCACTGCAAACATTAAATGAACGAACTCCAGACCACTTCAAAACTGATAGAAGCTGATTCATGGGAGGAAAATCCTTTGGAAATGCTGAAAACCAGCTACCTAGGCTCTCCTAGAGAGAAACAACATCTATTTTTGTTTGGTTTGTTTTCTTCTTGTAGTCGTGCCTGACGCACACTGCTCCTTCTGGGAACATGCGTTTTCTGCATCAAGAACTGGAAGCTCTGCTGTTTCCAAAACAGCTAGATAAGCATCTAAAGAGGCTAGTTCTGTTCAACAGTTAAGAGAAATAATAAACTTTGTAAATCAATAGAAAATATTACATATTCTAAATATTCCAGTGTTAAATACCAGTTTTATCTTATTGTGAAATTTTTCATGAATGCTAAATTTTATTTGTAAGGAATGAGGAAATTTATGAAGAACATAACTGTTATACTTTAGTAATACGTAGTTGTCTTACCTTGAAGTGTCCTTGATGGTGCATTGACGTGAGCACTGCATCTCATCCTTTCTCTTAAAGTCTAATTAAGTAGGAGATTGAAGGCATAAGGTATAATTTGAGTAGCTGAGTTTGTTTGGCTTCTAACTGAATACAACTGGTATGGAGGTACTTTTGCATGTTGAGCATGTCAGTCTGTTATATGCAGTATATTTAAGAGATGATAAATATTTATTTAGCACGAGTTTGGGATGATCCTGCAATGGATCAAAATCTTATACAGCCACATGCAAATGCCAGTAACTTTAAAAACATTCTGGCACTTCTTGTTTATATTTCAAGAGAAAATCTTTGTAGGAGAATTTTGTAAGGGACATTTAACACAGTTTCAGTCTGTAAAAACTGATTAAATCTTAGACTTATGGGGGAAGACCTTTAAAATACAACTAGGTTAAACATCAGTTAAAGCTTTCTGCAGTAGACCTCTTGGAGCCTTATCTCTGCAGTTACACACAGCCATCTTTTATTATACTGGTCATGGGACCAATGAGGCCTCACTGCCTCTATAAACATGCTTTTGTTCTGGAAACTCTTCTCTTGCCTCAATACCCCAAATCCACTTCATGTTCTCTCGGGCAGTGTGTGCTATGGGTAGTCCTGAGTTTGTGTTTCTACTGATATTCAGCTATCAAGAGTGACAAAGGGCTTCTTGTTCTGCCTTGAGTCAGAAGAATGGACCATATGCAATATGAAAGTCTCTTCCCTGTCTTTCTGGGTTTCATTGGTAATTAAATTGCATTAAGCTTCCGTTCATAATTTTATCCAGAACATGTTTAAATACGAAAGGGAGGAAGTAGTGTCACATAAAAGTTAAGCTCCCTTTTGGCAGCTTCTTCTCTTGTCTGTCCAGTGTAGTTTGGAAGCTTAATCTTTTCCTGCATTGTAATTGCTCTCCCGTGTATGGGTTGTGTTGCACCTCTGTCTGAATTCATAGCCTGTGCTTTTTAGGGGCAGTAGAAAGTTCTAATGATTCCTTCTTTCTGCAAGGCAAAAAACATCCCAAATTCTAATCTGTTCTGTTTTCTGTTTTACTGTAGGTCTAATCAACACTGCAAATCAGTGTCTAATCAACAGTCATCACTGTGAGATCCCTTGTAAGTACACCTCTGTGTGTGTCTGTCTGTGGTGTGTGTGTGTGAGGTTTTGCATGAGCATGTTCAAAGGAAAAAAACACAGTTGTGTTCTTGGGACTCACTAAGTTTTCCCAATTGATGTCTCTTAAGAATTACAACTGATTTTTGTCAGGGTAGAGATGTGATTCTCTTTTAAATTACTACAAATATAGATAAATTAGTTGTGTTTTCTGTTTTTAGAAACACTTTTAAAAGTATTACAAATTAAGTTGAAATTCCAAAATGAAAGAAATGCAACCTTCCTCTCCTCCCTTCCTAAATTAGCCAGTTCTTGATTATTAGCCAGTAGTGTTTCACAGTAACACCACTTCTGAACAAGCTCCTATGCAGCCCAAAGAAAAGCTGTGGCACTCTCTCATTGTTAAATAGTTTGCAGAACTCCAACAACTCTGCTTTTTGTCCAAGTCAGTGAGCCTGGTCCTATGTGCATTGTTGGAAGGTGAGGGGCAGCCAGAGTTCCCCCTGGGGTTTATTTGAACTTGTAGCATTGTGTGTAACCGTGTCCTGACATTTCCTTACCATGTCTCAGTGCCATTGCTGGCTTGTCTTTGACATACAGACTCAACTGCTGGTTTTGGAGCACTGAATTAACTGGGATGAAAGTATCATACAAGATTTGTGTTATAAACCAATAATCCTTCATTTTAGAGAACTGGAGCTTTGGAAAGTAAAGTGATCTCTTTTCTGCTGAGGTTGATGGTGAGGCTCACCAGAGCAGAATACACATGTACATTTTGAAAAGAATGTAGCATTCATTTTTTTATAAAAAGAAATATGCAGAATTCCATCCATACAAGTCTGAGCTTAATTTAGTTTATCTTAGCTTACTATACTATCATTCAATAGTCATTTTATTGTGTAGCTGTAATTACAAAATCAATGTGGTGGTCATGTTGTTTTAAATATCTGCAGATCTCTCAGTCTTACATTACCTTAAAGCTGTTGATATTGGCTACAACACAACTGCTTATATTAAAATTCTCATTAAATAACCCACCAATCTGTTAACTGACTTCTGTCTGCTGTAAGTAGCAGTTGTCTTGTTTAACCTGAAATGTTAATTGTAGCCTCCCTCATCACCTGAGGGTGGCAAATATATTAATAAATGTGTATTTTGAGGTGTGCCTACGTTCTTTTAATTCTTGATGGAGCCCTGAGAATTTCCCTGTTCTCATCCATTCTGTTTATCAGATGGTGTCCCTGACAGCCCAGGCTCTGATGGTGGGTGTCAGTGTCACTGGCTCCCCTGCTGGCTGAGGTTGTGCCCTTGCTTGGTGCACCTGTGCCTTGTGTTTTCCTGTGAGGCAGCGTGGGTGACGTGTTGGCAGCTGTGTTTGCCAGGTGAAGATAACCACCCCTCCCTCACGTGCCAGGGCACACTGGGCCCCGACTGGCGTTTGCTGTGATGGATTTGTTTTTCTCCTGCTCACCACCAGTCCTTATTTACCAGTTCTCCTTAATGAGGAAAGATTTCTGACATGCAGACAAAATCTTGCCAAATTGTACTTTATTTTAAACTGAGTTAAATTGGTCAGATTTTATTCTGTTTTCCATACTTGGAGTTTGAAATGCATATGTTGAAGTACTTTTTGAAATTGGAAAGCAATTCTGCATGATCCGTTTCTGAGAGTCTGCCATTCAGAGTTGAAAAGTAGAGGATTAAAAATGCAGTTGCTGGAGCAAAGTTAATAAAGCAGTTTTTAGATTACAGCATGTAGATTTTTGAGTCTATATACTATTTTTGAGTATATCAAGATACATTTTAATCTGACTAGAAGTTGATAGAATATTCTGAAAAGCAGTAAAGCAATCTGCTGTACCTTTTCTTTGTAGTACAAATATTTAGTGGGAAAACAAGTGTTGACCTTTCCCATAATTACACAATTGTGTCATTACTCAAGTAGCTTAAACACAATATTATGTTGTGAAGGACAGACTTCATCTCAACAGCCCTGAACTATTCAAACAGAAATAGTGGGGGAAAGTCTGTGAGAAGTAAATATTTGTGAATGCAAGAAACAAGTATGGAAAAGATTCATCCTCTTTCATCCCCAGAGCAGTTCACTGCTCTATTGTGCAGTGATGCTTTTGAAGTGAGCTTTTAGAAGCACTAAAACTAAATTAACTGACTATAATATTACTAATTTAATTATTTTTTCTTTCTTTTTTCTGCTCTCTGCTTGGCACTGGTTTTCGCCCGTAGGTGTCCACTGTTGGCTCTCAAAGGTTACTAAAATTTTGCAGCTGCTCTGAATCAGCACTACCTAAGCTTCACCTACTGTTGCTTCTCCCTACACCACTCTGCACTGCTGCCTTGCTCTTGCCTGCTTCAGAACTCCATAAGCGAGTTTCTCTTTCAAATACCACAATGAAATTTAGGCTAGAAATGTGTGCCATTCTCTTGCTGCCTGTGTACTTGTTAATCTGGTTGTACAGTATGCTGGTATTTATTCCCTGGTATTTTCTCACCAATGCCAAGAAGAAAAAGGCTATGGCAAAGCGGTTAAAAGCTAAACCCATCTCGGACAAGCCGGGGAGCCCCTACCGCTCTGTCACTCACCTGGACTCACTAGCCAACATAAACATCCCTGGAGCAGACACGCTGGACAAGCTCTTTGACCATGCTTTAGCAAAGTTTGGCAAGAAGGACTGTCTTGGAACCAGGGAAATTCTGAGTGAAGAAAATGAAATGCAACCGAATGGAAAAGTATTCAAAAAGGTAAAACTTACAATTTTTTACTTAATTCTGACTTGGGTTTGAGCTGCTTTGTATCTTGCCTCAATAATGCATGTCCCTTAGAGCTCTTCCTCAGTCATAATCTAAAACCATTAATGTTATGGTAGTTGAGGAATAACAGAATAGACAGGATGCACTGTTTATTCTGCTTCAAGTAAAATGAAAGCAATTTCTTAATGAATGGCAGACTGTGTATTCATTATGTTATGCACCAACTCGTATCAGCCAGTAGAGCTATACCAGAAGCTTCTTGTCATGAAATTAATTGTTTTTTCCTCTCAAGTTAATTCTAGGAACTTACAGATGGTTATCCTACGAAGATGTGAACGAGAAAATTACTCGCCTGGGGAATGGACTGACTGCCCTGGGGCTAACCCCGAAAAGCACCGTCGTCATATTCTGTGAGACCCGAGCTGAGTGGATGATTGTGGCTCTCACCTGCTTCAAGTACAACTTCCCTCGTGAGTGCTCAACTTGGTTACTTCTAAAGGATTTTAGAACCCTTTCTCAGCACAGATCTGGCTGTTAAGTATTTTGACTCTGCCAGTCTTGTCATTGGAGGTGTAAGAATTTCATCAACTTTCTCTGCTGATGGTCTGATTCTTTGAAGTTTTCAGTCTATCCCATGCATCGTGGATGTCCCTAAAATTAACTTGCTCATACTTATGAAACTGTTTTTTATTATTTTATTGTTCTAGATGTTAAAACGACAAAATAGTACACTTACCATTCAGGTTTTTTAAATATTCTGAAGATATCAGTAGTTGCCTTTAAGATGTCAGTTGTATTTCTCCCCCAAAAATGTGGGATGTTTTTACAGTATTTTCTGTCTGTATCCTAAACTGTACATCCAAAAGATTAAATGGTTATTGGAAGAGAACAATAGTGAATATGATAGTCTGTGGATAGTCTGTTTTGGTGACATTTGTAAGCTGCTCAAATTCATTACAATTCTATACGGTTATTCTTTTTTTAAATTTTTTTTTATTCAAGCTGTCAGAAATCTCTAATGAGAGTTAAACTTGGTGAGCTGCAGTGGTTACTGAGCACTCCAGTGCCCATTTTGCACACAACACACTGTGAACCACAGCCTAATTTTTTTGCTTGCACTGGGCTGTCTCTTTTTCTCCCAGCAGCAGTAGTAGCTGGGAGGAGCAGCTCGTGCAGCAGAGTGTGCAGAGAGGCTGTTCAGGGGCAGTGGTGGAAGAGATGAACTTCCTGCTGAAGCAGGAGACTGTGGTTAATTTGGCCTGGAGCCCTACACTTTGAAAGGCAGTAAGAAATAGCTGTATAACATTACTCTTTTTACTCTTCTGTGTGAATCCTATCTCACAGCACTGTTAGATTCCTTTAATGGTCTTTGGAGGTTACAGTTTGAGATAGCAAATGATACTAAAGAAGGGTTTTTTCAGTAGAGAGATAATGGGGAGAGGTGAACTCCATTGTGCTTGGGAGGCACTTAATGGCATTCCTGTAGCCAGTCTGGTTAAAATAATCTGGCAGCGTGAAAAACAGTCTGATTCCTTAGTCTGATTCTCTGCCTTGCTGCCATCACTAATTCCATGGGAGCAAGGAAAGTGGCTGACAGTGTGTAAAGAGCTGCCTGTAGCCATGCCCAGCTTTAAGCTGATGGCCTGTACTGTCTGAGTGTCACCTCTCCCCTGAGTTGTGGTTGCAGAGAGCTCAGGGGCAGAACACCTGCTCTTAGTTGCTTACTCTGGGATTGCTTTGTACATTATTGTTGGGGCTTGATGCATCTGTTTGTTCTGATAATTCTCATTTTTCTATAGCAAAAATTATTTTGGGAGGATGTAGATGACCATTACAGGTTCCTTCCAACTGCCTGACCACTTCAGGTCTGACTAAAAGTTACAGCCTGTTACCTAGAGCGTTGTTCAAAGGCCTCCTAAACAGTGACAGTCTTGGGGCATCAACCATCTGTCTAGGAACCCTGTTCCAGTATTTGACCATGCTCTTAGTAAAGATATGCTTCTTACCCAGCTGTCCTCCTTGTTCCAGAGGTCTCCTGTGCCATAAAATTTCTGATGTGGAAAAATCAAAAGCTGTTTCATTTCCAAATTGGAAAATTCCCAACTGAGTGCTTTCCAGTAAGCTAAGCTAAGAGCTTTTGCTTTTAGTTTTACTTTTACTCTTTTTTGTGTCCTTTCCCATCCCTGTGACAGTTGTCACTCTCTATGCCACCCTGGGGGAAGAGGCAGTGACCTATGGTCTCAACGAGTGTGGAGCATCATACCTGGTCACGAGTGTGGAACTCCTTGAGAGCAAACTTAAGGTAATTTGGTATCATCCTCACCTGCTATAAGCAACCCTACAGTTCAGTCAGTACACTACTAAAAAATTCATTTCTTTTCTGTAGACTGCACTGCTGGAAGTCTCCTGTCTGAAACATATAATTTATGTGGACAAGAAGACAGTCAATAAATCAGAATACCCTGAAAATGTGGAGATTCATAGTATGCAGGCAGTAGAAGAGCTGGGAGCCAAACCAGAAAACTGTAAGTGAATCACTTCACAGGGGACTGACCAAGCAAGCAGTGTTAGCACCTGGGTTAAGAGGGATGTGTAGCAGAAAACCCCCCACCCAGCAAAGGGTGGCCTTTGTCACCAGCAAAGGCAATGGCAGGTTGCCAGTTCATCCTCCAGCTCCCTTTAAATAAACAAAAAATGTGTTTTATATCTTTTGTTCATGTGTCATGTATGTCAGGAGAAAACTTTCTTTTTAACTTGTAAACCATAACCAGAATAATTTAATACTTCATCTTTGTTTTAGGAAATGAAATAGAAACTGGCTTAATGTTTCATTTTTCTGCTACTCTTACCTTTTATTTATCTTACTGTCACTATTTTTTCTAAGAAAAGAGGAGAAAGCACTTAAAGCTTTTTTGGTTTTTTGCTTGAAAATGTCCATTATCTTAACCAAGTTGTAGCTAAAAAGCACTTAAGGCTAGAGGAATAACAGTTACATTCCTTGCTCCATTGGGCAGCCAGGAATGACTGTAAACATCTGCTTTAAGGAAGGAAAACCCAACCCTGATGATCTGTTCTCCTTACATCAGCAGTCTGTAATTAACCACGTCCCTCTCTGGAATAAAGCAGCAGATAAACTGGCAAAGGAGCTTTGGGAAACACACATTCATCACAGCTGCTTATCTCTGATAAGCCTGAGGTGCTGGTACAGACCTGCAGTGACCCTAAGGGGTGTTTTTTCTTGGGCTTAGTCTCTGAAAAGCCTGCTTCCTTGCAGACACTGTGAAAGCCAAGAAGGCTGATGATGGTCATCCTAAGAATAAAGAGGACTAAAACAAAAATCAGAAGTCAAGTGTTCTAAGCTTACTGCTTTTCTACTACACCTGCAGCTTATCTGAGGAAGGTTTATTTTAATTTTTTTTTATATGTCAGGAGGGGGAGTTAAAAGGAATCTTATCTCTACAACCTTGGCTTTGAAAGACTGATGGACAGAAAAGCTGACTTGCAGCTTTTTGGGATGTTGGGTTTTTGTTCTGTTTTTTACTCAACTTGCTGTTTATCATCCCCTTGTATACTTGCTGTATTTCTTCCCTTTGCTGCCTTTGACAGTTTTATTTGGTCCTCAAAAGGCTCCTTCTATGAAACTCTCAGTCAGCTATAAAGCACAATGACAAAAGTGTCACCCAGATTGTGCAGATGCTCAAATACTCATCATTTCTGTCAAAATTGGCCTTCCCTCTCTTCCTCTTGAAACCAGATGACTGCTCTCTCCAGCACTGACCATGCAACAGCTTGCTGTGCTGGCCTTCCATGAAGCACCTGTTTCACACTGATTACAGACATTTTCATATTGATTAATTACAGAAATAATTTAGAAAGTAGATGAGAATAAATAACGGTTTTTTCTCCTGAATTTTGTAGCAAGCATTCTGCCAAGCAGACCTGTTCCTACAGACTTGGCTTTAGTAATGTACACCAGTGGCTCTACTGGGAGACCCAAAGGAGTGATGATGATGCATAAAAACTTAATAGCTGGAATGACAGGACAGTGTGAGAGAATACCTGGACTGGGGTAAGAAATACTTTGTTGTCTCGTGCACAAAGAGCTAAAACAACCTCCAGAAGTGTCACATTTATAGAGTCTGCTGCTGGCATTGTGTTATCAAGCTTTTTCGTGTTATTGTGAGGCCACTACTTTTTAATTTATAAGGAATATGTCTTGTGTGTGTTAACTTCCTTTGTTTGAAAAATATGCCCTATTCTAGCTGTTTTCTCACATGCTGCTGGTTTGTTTTTTTTTAATTTTTATTACCCTTAGCTCTAAGTCTGTGATGGATTTTTTGCACTTTTGAGTATCAGAGGATACCACTAGATAGCAGATTCCTCCTCTAGTGCAACTTGGGAAATGTTTTTAGACATTTTCAGGCACCTGGAATCAGTTTAGGAAGCATGTCAGAGCCTGGCACTTCAGTGACCTGGAGACAGCACCTGGGTGCACATGCTGCAGAATCTGCTCAAGTACAGTTCAATGAAGGAGCAGAAAAGTAATAAATTATGCACTGACAACAGTAAAACCAAGTGCAGACTCCTTCACATTAGTGTTTTGAGGAAGTTTTTTGTGGAAGTGTCTGTACTTGTCTCTGCATTCACAAAAGTTCAATAGCTGAAATAAGCCCTGATGCCAGACTGCTGTTGTGAGAGGATATAAACCCAGTTCTGGGTGGGTGCTGGAAGCTGCTCTTCAGTGCCAGCTCTAAGGTTCTTGCTGAGAAATCTCTGAGCAATTACTTTCTGAAACCAGCCTCAGTACTTGAGTAATCAGCTCTCTTTCCAGTAACGTATCCTAGAAGAAGATGACGGACAGGGCTTTGTAAATCATTGGTCATTACTGTAAAGTGTAATTATTTCATCCTTAATTTCATAACTGAAATGAAACCTCCCACAAGGAGAGGAAATAGCAGTAAAGGACTAAGGAATCAGAGTTTCCTAGAAAACAAGGCAAATCCTGTAATTTGTACTGATTTCAGTAAGGGCAGATTTCCCCAGTTTGTTTATACACTGTGGCTGAAATCACACCCATCTTGTGTGCAGGAGAATAAGCTCACCTGGGATCCAGGTCAATCAAAAAGTAATAACTAAGCAACAATAAAATGGTTAAATGGTATTTTCAGTCTATTTCTGACTCATGGTTAATTATTTTTTCTTTCCCAGACCCAAGGATACTTATATTGGTTATTTGCCTCTGGCCCATGTGTTAGAACTGACAGCAGAAGTTTCCTGCATCACTTATGGCTGCAGGATTGGTTACTCCTCTCCTCTCACTCTCTCAGATCAGGTGAGGGCTAGCAGAGCAAGGTGGGGAGCAAACTTCACCTTTTGCAGCCTGTTGTCTCCTTGCTCAGCTTCCTCCTTCAGTAAACAAATGCTGGTGTATATGGTACACTTCAGAAATGTACATTTTGTTTCAGAAAATGATGCAAATTAACATTCCTGGTGAACAACAGTGGTGGGTTGTGCCATAAATTTTATTAAAACCTTTGCTTTTATGATACTTAGGAAATACAAAAGCAATCCTAAAAAATGCCTATAGTGTTATCCACTGGATAACAGGGTAAGAACAGCTCTTAATAGATCAGCTGAACTGTTTAAAGTGATCTTAATTTTTGGTCTCACTTTATCAGTTCTTTATCCAGGTATTGCAGATCTCCTATTTAGTCCTTTGTCTTTTTCCCTTTAGCAATTCAGATAAATAGGAGTAAATTAAGCCAGAATAGATACCTCTGTATGTTTTGCTTGTAGAGAGATTTGCATCAAGCAAAACAAGCTCCCAAAGGAAGATGGAGGAGAAAGCAAGTGCTAGAGGGAGGAAGTAAGAGAAAGATAAACAAAGTGACCCTGTAAAAGATTGAGTATTTTAGTTGAAATAGATGTTAATCATTACCCTTTCCTTAACAATGGGGGCAAAATTACACAGGAACGGGGAAGATATTTGAACAAATTACATGCCAATAGATCTCCTCCTTTTGTTAGCCCTTTAGTTTTCAAGCACTGTTTCGTTTTCAGCTTCATAAATTGAAATCTTTTCCTTATTACAGTCAAGTAAAATTAAGAAGGGAAGCAAAGGAGACTGTACTGTACTTAGGCCGACACTGATGGCAGCTGTGCCTGTAAGTATGCAGAAGCAAATATGTCCAGCAAAAAAATTTTCTGTCTTTTTTTATGCTAGAAAAATGTATTTACTAACAGGGTTTGCTCTCTCAGAGGAAAGAGTGATCAGGAGACTGGGACTGCTCTTGGTTCTGCAGGTTCACTGCTCTGGGCTCCTGCACTACACAAGGCTGTGGTGCTATCCAGAAACTCCACAAATGTTTGTGCCTTTCTGGTGCCAAGGCCCTCCCCACATGTGCTGCCATCACAGCTGCTGCTTTTAGGATCCTCTCACATCTGTGGCTCATAAAACTGGTAGCACTGGGTGGTGCCACATAGTGGTGGGGAGTGAGTAGGAGGATTTAATCTAATTTAGGAGTACTGAGTTTTGGTTGGATCTGGTTGTTCTGCAACATCTCAGAATAGCCAAGAGTTTTAAAATAAAATAAGTCACTTGCATTCTTTTGTTTTATAAAATCATAAGCACATAAAGAGGCTTGGTCGTCTTCTTAATTATTAACAGAGTGACAATAAGTATGTCTGATAACTCCAACCTTTTGGAAAATATCCATTTAAATTTATTACATGGAGAGAAAGCACATAAATTCTTCAAAACATTGTGCTCCAAAACAAACTTGAAGGAGCCAATCTTTAAATTTCTATTAAATACTTCACCAGCCTAAACAATGTTTTAGGTTCTGTGTATTTGGGTGACCATAAGCTTATTATTATAATGGAAATTAATCTCTGTTCTGTGACAGAATTGTGGTGGATTTTTGTCAGATAATTAGAATTACTGCAACCATGTTGCTCTGAAAGTTGAAGAGCTCTCTTGGAAAAGGAAATGGTGCAATGAATTCTTAGTTCACTCCCTTGCACTTAACAACTGCTGTGGATAAAGTACAGCATCAGCACTCCCAAGCAGGACACACCATGAGGGGAAAATACCAACCTTTAGCAAAGAGACTTGAATTTTAAATTTTCTGAATCAGTTTAAGTACAGGTTCAGGTGTAAATAGCTCCAAGCTGCAATGGTCTGTAAATTGGCTCAGTGATCACATGTTAAAAGCATTGCACTTAAGCACTGCCTAACCCCATGATGCAAAGATTTTCACTCTTGTTATCTATTTTAAAGGAAGGATAACTGGAGCGGGGTTTACTTTTGACATGGGATTTAATTTACACATGCTGGTCTGTCCCATGTGGTAATTTTCCTTTTTTTTTTTAACACTTTGTAGGAAATAATGGACAGAATTTACAAAAATGTCATGAGTAAAGTTCAAGAGATGAACTACATTCAGAGAACTCTGTTCAAGATAGGCTATGACTACAAATTGGAACAGATCAAGAGGGGATATGATGCACCTCTGTGTAACATGTAAGTAGCATTCACGGGCCAAGGGTGTGTTTTGCCTTGGGATCTGTTAGGGCAGTCTGAAAGAATGATCCTCTGAGCTATCAGACACTTCTCATCTGCCATGCAAATAACATCTGATGAGCAACTGACGTCGTCCAAGTTCTTACTGAAACAGCTAAGATATTTCATGGGAATGACTAATCTTCCAAACAGCTGCCTGGTTCATTTTCATTGCATTGCTTTTTTTTAAGTGATAAAACTGGAATGTTTGTTAAGCTACAGGAACTCTGCCTCCTCAAGTGTTACACAAGAGGTAATGGGTTTGGATAAGCCCTGCTGTCTACTAAAATCTGGGAAAAAGTTAATGGTTAAGGCATTCCAGATAGGAAGGAAGGAAGAAGGTTTGTGTCTTCTTACAAGAGTGGGCTAAGTGAGTAATTTTTAATGCTTTTTGCCTTCTTTCAAGACTGTTGTTTAAAAAAGTAAAGGCCCTGCTGGGAGGGAATGTCCGGATGATGCTTTCTGGAGGAGCACCACTCTCACCTCAGACACAACGATTCATGAACATCTGTTTCTGCTGTCCTGTTGGGCAAGGCTATGGACTGACAGAAACGTGTGGAGCTGGAACCATTACAGAAGGTAGTTGAAACACCTGTGGAAATACATAACTTCAGAGATACATATGTGTGGGTGTTTGGGGATTCTTGATTTTTTTAGAACAAGTCAAAATACAGCTACAATTTTAACAATTTATCATTTTAATTTTAATAACAATTTACAATTTTTAACAATTAAGTATTTACAATACTACAGATGTAGTTCTGCAGTAAAGTAACTTGAGATAAGATACACCCTATTCATATTTCAAATAACAAAATAATCTTGGTTTCTTTCTTGTTTTCTCCCTAAGTTGCTGATTACAGCACTGGCAGAGTTGGAGCTCCTCTTATTTGTTGTGAAATAAAACTGAGAGACTGGCAAGAAGGTGAGAGTAGTAATTGTTCTGATTTCAGAGTAATGAATTTAGCCTCTGCTTAGCTGGTATCTTTGCCTATCTGCTTAGCTAGATGTAGCAAATGAAGAAATTGTTCTTTATCTTTGATAATAGCCATCAGTTAGTGTGCTTTAACGTCAAACTGAAGTTTCAAAGTATTTTCTTTGGCAGAAGGATATATAAGTTAAAAATAATTGCTTGGGACTGTGTTGTTTTCAGGAGGCTATACTAATAAAGACAAGCCTAATCCTAGAGGAGAAATTATAATTGGTGGACCCAACGTCTCCATGGGATATTTTAAAAATGAAGAGAAGACAACAGAAGAGTTTTCTGTTGATGAGAATGGCCAGAGATGGTTCTGTACAGGAGATATTGGGGAATTTCATCCAGATGGGTGTCTGCAGATCATAGGTAGGTCTCTGTTTTTGATACCTTAATATATTACAAACTATTGACTAACCATAATTATAAACATGCTATTAATACTGTTGGGCTAATCTACTTAAGGTTACCTATTTACAGAATTGGTGTAAAACACATTTCCAAAGCTCCTCATAGCTGGAGTAAAATTTTGGAAGTGATGCCATTTCCTGTGACATTATCATCATCTAAATTTAGCACATGGACTTTAAAGAATAAATACAATAATAACTTTTGGATTAATTACAAAGCTTTGAAATCAGAGTCCTTTCCTACAATCTGTGTGACAAGAAGTGTAGTGCTGTAACACTTTTTACAGCAATCTGTATAAATTTGGCAGTGATTAGCTGCTTTAAAAGTTGTCCATTAAGATCTGGAAGAGCACAGAATACATAGGTGGTATGTATGGAAATGAGTCTGTGGAAATGCTCAAGTTTAAATGAAACAAGGTTTTCTTTTTTTTCCCCTTCCCTGGCTCCTAGATCGTAAGAAGGACTTGGTAAAGCTACAGGCAGGAGAATATGTATCTCTGGGCAAAGTAGAGGCAGCACTGAAGAACTGCCCATTGATTGACAATATCTGTGCTTATGCCAAAAGGTAAGAACAGCATTCATTTACAAACTCTGCTTAGAGTAAATTAAGTACAGGCTCTGATCCACTTCTCTAATCCAACTATAGTTCTCCATGGTTTCCTGCTAATAACCCTCTCCATCAGAGTACAAGTTTCAAACATGTCTGAAGAAGCACAGCTTTCCAGATTCCCTAAATGCTGAAGAAATTACCTGGTTTTCTGCTGGCATTTCTCCTATCCAGATATGCCTCTGTTCCATCCCATCCCTTCCCTAAAGAAGTACATATCATTATATATGGTTATATTAAGCATGTGTTCTGGCTGTCAGAATCCAGTGAAAAGTTCATCTGGACACTTTGCACCTGATCCAAAGCTTTCCAGTGAGTTTTGGAAGTAGTCCAAATGTATTCCCCTCTCTCCCTACGTGAGGGGGAACTGCAGAGAAGTGGTTAAACCCCAGGTCTAGCTGGGGAGCTAAGCTGAGATGTGCATGAGTGAAATGACAGCAAAGCCTCACTCTGATCAAACCTGATGTTCTAAACCAGCTTAGAATATCTTCTTGATAAGCCTTCAGATGTGAAGACTTAATGCACAAGAAGGGGTCTGTATGGTGGAATCACCTGGAAATTTGTGGGTCCAGCAGCAGGTAATTTACACCCTGAAAGTCTTGACTGAACCTTTTTTCCTTCCTTCTCTTGCCACTCTGTGTAGTGACCAGTCGTACGTGATCAGTTTTGTGGTCCCTAACCAGAAGAAGCTGACAGCATTGGCTGAGCAGAAAGGCATCAGTGGAAGCTGGGTGGACATTTGTAACAATCCTACAATGGAAGCAGAAATACTGCGAGAGATTAAAGAAGTGGCAAACAAGAGTAAGTACCACAGCACATCCTGCTGGCCATGGGGCCCATCCAGCAAAAACTGCCTTTATCCTCACTAACTCCTCCTCCTCCTTCCAGTTTCTCTGTATCTGCCAAAACTTAATGGTTTATCGAGGCAAAGAGCACACAGAATTGTTGCATATCATACCAGGAATTTACATAGTAATGGTTGTATTGATTACTATACTACTTGTATTTTTTACAAATTATCTGAAGGTTTTTTCCAACTAAATTCTGAAGACAAGTTTGTTGTCTAATATGGTTAAAATAAGGCCCAAAAGAGCCATTAATTGGAAGAAAAGTTGCAAGGCATTTGCTGGCAAGGAAACTGGTTAAGCAAGAGATTTCAAAGCATTTTTTCCCCATAAAACTTCGTTCCCTACAGCTTTGAATAGCCATGATCCTTGTGGTTGTAGGGGCTTAAAAGCCTGCTACTCCTTGCTGTGGTACTGAAGGATTAAAAGTGTCATCAGTCCTTTACAGGACAAAAAATGAACAAACTCAGTGGGGAAGAAAGTCTCTAAAGCACTTGGCATCTCATGCAAGGAAGCAGTAAAAGCTGCACTTAAGTACATGCTAAGCACTTTCTCTTAAACAGAGGGAAGAACCTGTCTTTTGAAAATGGGAAAACAAGAAGGAAAGGAATTATTAAGTCTTACCTTGGAAAAAATAAATCAGTCCATATGTTTAAGGCTTACATTTAAACTTTAATCCCTTGGGATTTTTATTGTGAATTGGGCAAATTACTATCCATATAGCTTTGTGTACTTATACCCTTTGCTTAGGCATTTCTGCCTTCTAGATGTAATCTACTATTGAGATACAACTAATTTATGTGAAATTTTTTTCAAAACTATTTTAAAGAGGTAGTTGTACATTCTTAGCAGAGCATGATGCACCTTCATCATGAGCAGGCACACATGTGAGTGAGAGGCAGCAGCACATCCTGGCAGCAGCTCTAGTTAGAAAGGCAGAGGAGCTGCTGGGTCCCACTTCTGCCGCCCCCCAGAGGCTGTGCTGGAATTCAGCTACAAGTCCATGGCTGTGGATCCCATTCCCAGCCTCCCTGCAGGAGTTGGTAGCAAACTCCATGTGGTACTGGGCACGTGCAGCAGCTCCCTGTGCTGCTCCTGCCCTCCTTCCCCTTCCCTTTCTCCTCCCTCTTGGGCTATTACCTGTGCAAGAGAGAGAAGCAGCCTTGGTTGCAGTGAGGCTGTGCATGTGCCAAGCCACTGCTTCCAGCTGAAGGGAAAGTAAGTGGCTAATGTAACAAAAATACAAAGAAGTCCCTTTGTTTTGAACTCTAAACAGACTTTTAGGAGTGAAAAATATAGGAAAGAAGCATTCAACTAGGGAAAGTTTACGAGTACTTCATTATAATTTAAATATGAAGCATGTGCAGCTAGTCTGAGTTAACTAGTTATTCCATTCCTGTAATGAAGATACAACTGTAGATTTTAGTGTATGCTTTTGTGGCAGTAGTTTCAGAGCTTCAGGCTACTCAGCACTTGTTTCAGGCTTTAGATTTTGCATTGTCACATCCAATACAGGTTCTAAACACAGTGTGTGTAAGAGTATTTGCACACTAACTAGCACTCAGTGATGGAACAGGATGAAATTTGCCTGTGGCCCTTGTGTAAGGTTATTTCATTAAGTAGGACACCATATTATACAAGCTGCAGGGTGCTGACCAGATTTTTAGGGAACATAAATTAGTATTTCATTTGGCTTTGTAATCACAGTCATGCTTTTCTCTTTGTTCTTGTCCCCTCAGTGAAATTAGAAAGGTTTGAAATCCCCATCAAGGTCAGGTTAAGCCCTGAGCCGTGGACCCCTGAGACTGGGCTGGTAACAGATGCCTTCAAGCTGAAAAGGAAAGAACTGAAAAACCATTACCTCAACGACATTGAAAGAATGTATGGAGGCAAATGAACAGCTCTGCTGACCTGGCAGCTGTGCAGGTGGCTCCTCCTCATGCCTCAGTTCTGGATGTCTGTGTGTACTGTAGATATCACACATTCAAAAAATACACCAAATGGACAACTGTTTCTGTAATCTCTATCAAGTGAAACAGAGACTATCTTAGACTCCAAATTCTTATTTGTTAGCAGATTAGACACTGATGGTCTTCATAGAGTTTTGTGTGATCATCTCCAGTTTTGAGACAGACATCATTATGTGAAGCAGTGTGACCAGGTAATTTTATTGTTTCTCTAGCATATTCAGACTGCTTACAACTTCTCTCATGCTGAAGTCTGGCCTGTATTTCAAAGAGGAAAAAATAATGCAATTGTGATGATTCTTCTGTCATCATAAAACACTTGTAATAAGATATTTCCCTCTAGCAAGGAGGGAAAAGGAGTATCCAATGTCTACCCTTCTCCATTTAAAAACAAAACCTATACAACAGCAGTAGTCAAGAACTTGCTAGAGATCACTAATAATGCACTGCTTGAAAATGGATGGATTCTTCTGCACATCAATATCTTGAATCTTTACAGTGCCTACAAAAGAATAGACAGTACACTTGCTGAAATAAAGGTGAACTGAAAAGCTTTCTAAAAACAAATTATAAGAAATTTCAGTCAAGAGCATTGAATTAACTATTTCAACTTCCAACTCACCAAACAGGTTTTTAATTGCCACTGCATTTTAATTCAAGCAGAGCTTTCCACTGGACACAGAGTATAAAAGAAAAGAAAGACTTGCACAACTCTGGGGGTGCTGATGAGAAATCAGTGCCTGAATGCAGAACTTGCATCTGGACTGGCAGACAGCTGTGAAACTGATGGGCAGTGGTCTCTAAACAGACTTGAAACTCAGAGGAGTTTTGGTGGGTTTTTTCAGAGGTGGTTGATGCTTTTAAGGCAATGATTCTCTAGACCTTCACATACATGTGAGTACTGGTACAGGTTACCTGGGTGTAACTTGGAGGATCAGGTTTTAAATGTCTGCATTCCTTTGTGGAAGGTATTTCCGTTCACCTTTTAACTGTGGTAAGCTGGATAAGGCAGAAACCAACAGGAGTTTCCCTGTCCAGTCTTGTTTTACTTACAGAAAAGTAGTCTGTGGCCAGGGAATCTTTGTTTCCTGGAAACTTGTAAAAAGGGACAAATCACTCTACAGAAATTCATTATAAAAATGTTCTCTTATTAACTGGAAGTCATAGATGTGAAGAAGGAGGAAGATATAATTTAATAATAGTTCATCATTTTGTGTGCCGAATCCTGTACGGTGTCTTCTTTGAATTGTAACTGAGCTCCTGCATCCCTGTCAGCTCTTCACACTTGAACCATAAGTGCTGTAAAAAGTGGAGGCTCTTGATACTGTTCTACTTTGCACTTTCTTAATCGTTTTATATATGTTGCTTACATTTTGTACAGCTGTGGCCCTCATCTGCTCTATATTGCAAATTCATTTGAAAGTATTTATAGATTTCTATTCATAACATTTGTGTTGTGTATATGATGGTTAAAAAAACTATTTGGTATTGTCACTGTACAGAAAGTAAAAGATTTTGTACATTGCTTCTCTTGAGCACACGAGCTTGCAATTTCAAGACAAGTTTTTCTTTTTCTGCATGTATATGTATTTTTATTTTCCAGTTAAAATAGACTTTGGCAAAAATAAACAATGGCTCTACACTCCTCAAGTAAAGCATCCCTTCTCCTGGGGACCAACTTCAAACTTCACCATGCATAATTTTCTCTGGCTAGTGCAGAACACTGCCTGCTGACCTTCCAAGAACCTTGAGAGGAAAGAGAGTAAGAAAATCTGGTATACAAAGGTGATGGTATCCAGTTGTGCATGGAACTAAAAGAGTCACTAAAAGGAACAAGGAAACAGCTTTTCTAAAAAATCTTCTTTTTAAGATACACACAGTTGTTTTGTGACAACTTTCTTAAAATTCTCTAATCCTATTAATTCCCACAGGGAATATATCCCATATCAGTAGCAACTTGTAAAATTACTTGGTCCTGGAGCCATGGTACCAATTTTTCCATGTTTTAAAACTGGTCTCTATTCAGTAGCCTTTAGTCAGCCTATTAGCATCACAAAAGTGAAATACATGTATGAAAGATACTTCCACTTGAGTCTGTCAGCAGGTTCTAAGACTATTTTTTTTAAGCCATGAATGTATTTATATGAAATGTATTTTATCTTCTGTGTCTTGGTTGACTGAGGATTGCTATTTTCAAAATATATGTACACACATAACACAATGTTAACATTTCAAAAGTGGAATACAACTTAAATGATTCAACAAGTTTGTGTTTTGGGAAGATCTTTGTATTGCTCCTGTTCTGTGCCTCACATTCTGTCTAAAACCGAGTCTGTCCTACAAAGCAGCAGCAGTGAGTCCATAGTTCAGGTAATGAAAACCAAGCCTCCAGCAGGCCTGCTTTTTCTTGTAAGGAATGAACTAGACATGGATGTACTGCAAAAGAAATGTGCTACATCATCAGCTTTTCAAGCACCTTTGGGGAAGAGGAGGGATTACATCAGGCTCCCTTCAAATGTGGGGATTGTTTGCAAATACCTTGCAGTTGGGCAAGAACTTTATCCTTCATTTTAATGAATTCTAAATCCTTTCTGTGACAGAGCTTGTGGAGAAGAAACAGAATGAGCAAGAATGTTTAATTTTTGCCATTAAAAAGAAGGAACGAGGATGCAAATGAAGAGATAGTAGATCACTTCAAAATCATTATGTGATAGTTACAGATGGTGTTTATCTTGTGCTGGGCTGAAAGGACAGACCATGGGACTGAAATGTGAGGGAGAGGTTCATTTACTGCCGAGGGTTCCTGAATGCTGAAAGTTCTTCAGAAAGCAGGTTAAGAATTTTAAATCATCCTTGTAAGACTGAGGAAACAAGTTCAAAGAGAAACTAAATGCAGTTTGGGCATATCTGGTGTAAGATTATATTTAGCCCTCTACCTCCAAAGCCGTGGTCTGGCTAGAGAAAGCCAGAGTGTAACTACCACAGCAGGGGACTGGGAAGCTTCAGCTGTGAAGGAAGATGGAGTTGTTTAGCTGGCCTGAGGAGGAGTGGCATAGGCCACTAGGTGATTAACCTGCAACCCCATGCACAGTTACCCTGACAAAGGCACAAAGAGCTGGCCCCAGGCAAGGAGAAAGAACAGGGTCTCGTTTTGCACAAAGTGAAATAAATAATTTGGCATTTTAAAAGAAACACGGGATTTAAACCAATTCCTTACTAAATACTGAATTAGTTGCCCAAGATCTCTGCCACTGAAAGTCTTCAGAGCCTCAGAGTCAATGAGAGTTCAGCAAAGCTTTTGAGGAACAGCCTTGGCACAGACCCACTGGTGGGGCTGGCAGGGACTGGTCCTGCACGTGACACAACAGGAATGCTGCCTGGAACAGGCAGATGTCATTAAGTGGCTTGAAAGGGGAAAGAAAAAGGCTAAACAGGGAGAGGAAGGAGTTGCTCCCTCAGGAGCAGGTGAGGTGGTGTTTAACCAGCCCATGCAGTCACGGTGCCCTTGAGAACACTCGGAGCAGAACCTGCAGGGCACTGCCTGCCAGCTCCCCAGCACAAACTGCACTCCCAGCACACTGGCAGGCTGTAAAAGGACAGAACACCAGTTCACAATGTGGGTCACTCATTTTCACTAGCAAAAAAAAACCAAAAACACCCCATATCTACCACATCTCAGAACAACAGCTTCAAATAATTTTGTATTCTAATAGTAAATTATTGTTGTTCTGTAATTACATGCAAAACAAGAAACAAATTCTCTTTATGTATTTGGTTTTGTTGGGGTTTTTGTTTGTTTGTACTTTGTTTGGTTTTGGTTATTTGGTTATTTTTGTCTGTGGATTCTTTTCAGTCATACTGAGCCTATCTCATGGCTAAACTCTATTTACATGACAGTAAAGCAATTTCCTTTCTGAAGGGTAAAATTTACACAATGCACAATTGAAGATTAAAAATAATAAATCTGGTGGGTTTTTTGCATAAGATGGCACAATGGTAATCTACAAAATGCAATCAGCAAAACTCGCAGTCACTGGTTACATGGAGTTGCAAAAAAATGCACAGAGTAAAACTCTGTGTGAACTTACCTGGATTAACAAAACACATTTCCAGTTAACTCGGTGCTGCTGCAAAGGAGATTAGTGATTGCTTTATGACAGGAGTACATCAGCCATGGAGGACCAGGGCTGACTATATTAAATATACATTTGTACTTAGCCTGTCTTTTTCACATAATTTAATTTGAATGAGTTCTGACAGAAATGGGGTAATGTTTGCACTACTGCTTTGCTGCTGGGTGCTGTCATGGGTTTAATCTTGCTACACGTCTATTGGGGAGAGACATGTTATGAAGAAAACGAAACCATTGTAGATTGATAAAGTGTTCTAATGAAGCTGATTATCACAGATAATTTATCCAAAATTGCCTTTGGTTGGAAGCATGTAGCCTTGACATTAGACCAGTGCTAATTACTTTAGACAAACAGAGCTCTGGCCACAGTGTCTGATCCTCCAGGAGTTCACCTTCACTTTTAAAGCAAAAAATAGCTAAAGCACCAAAACAAGCAAAAAATGAAATGAAAAATATGCCAGAAATCTTTGAGTTTTCCCCTTCTTGTCCCATTTTGAAACACCAATAAGCTGGTTAATGATGAACACTACCAGAGATGCCAGAGGTCACTAGGTGGTTGTCACACCTGCTTGTTTCTGCATTTACCCTCACATGTCTCCAAGTACAGAAGGTTGCTCATCACCTCTGTATCATCCCTGTAATTGCTGAGCATCCAGACCCTGAGCAGGAATGCCCATCACTCCATGACCTCCTATCAATTTAAATGCTAAAAGAGGAAGGTGTCATGTAAGTTTTGCTTTTTTAAAACACAGAAAAGACACCTCAATTTGAAACAGTTCTGGACTACTTCTAGCAGGTGAATTGAAATTACTTCAGTTCACATGTTGTTCCAGCTCTGGGAGTTGTTTCTAAGATTTTTAATTGTTTTAAACAATGAACCTAAACTTTTCCTAGCAGATATAAATCAGTTTATTACTTATTGTGCTCCCTCAGGAGTGAGCATGAAGAATGGATCACTGTTCTCTATAGGTGCCTGCCCTACTTTACTTTCTGCCTTTGGAGTTGCAGCAAACACAATCTCTCCCAATGAGCCCATTTCTATGGCATTTGATCAGGGTCATTAAACCAGGGCCCCTCTGGCCCCACGTTCAAAACAAAACACCTTCCTCAGCCCCCTACACAGCTCATGGAAATTACTTCCCAAAGCCTTTACCTTCATCCCAGAACCTGCCTGCTTCTTATGGAAAGGGACAGCTCTCACCTTGGGACTTCTTTTTTCCTTCTTATTTTTAAAATCTGGATCTCGGCTCTGAACACTTGCAGTAGCACAAGAACTTTACTCTGTGAGGATAGGAAGTGCACAGCACCTGACAGTGACTTCTTCAAGAGCTCTGCAAGCAAACACTGCACCTCAACCCAAGTGAATTTCCAACAGCTCAGTCTGGATCAGTTTGAACCTGTGTGCAGCTCATTCTGAGCATTTACTGGCAAGCAGATTCCTTACTTTCAGAGGAGAGATGACAAGAAAATTGCTCATGCCAACAAAAAACATACCATAGGAAAGCAAACTAAAACCTAGCCCTGTGTGATATCCATCAGACCCTGGGGTTTGGCTCTCTTGGGTTTCTAAATTGAAATTCAGCCCTTCTAACTGTGGTAAAAGCTATGGTCTCTTGTACTTTCTCTTTTATTTCCATGTCCAGCCACCAGTACACTTTCAGTAGGTCACCTCTAGACAGTGAAAATGCAAGATGTCTGCAATGTATCCAAGCCAAAAATTTCATTTAAGAGACATGAATTGTAGGATTCATAAGTGAAAAACACCAGCTACTGTGCCCAAACCCCCCATGTCTTCCTGACTAAACAGCAACCTCTCACTCGTGTCCTAGAGAGTGTAAATTCCCCTGTGCTGCAGCTGTGGGGCACAGAGTAACTATCCTGAAACCAGAGGGTTTCTCTGTTGTATTTTACTGACAGAGAAACAAGAAATGATTAATTGAAGCTCTTAGGAAAAATAGATGGAAAAAAATGTTAAAAAAAAAGAAGGCATGTGCTGCTACAGAAACATCCCATTTGTGAGTGTTCCTTCTGAAGCAACTTTTTAAAAGAGAAGCATTATGGAAAATCAACCAATATTTTTTCAGTCCCTAACTCAGTATTGCACACTTGCCTAATGCTGTTTATATAGAAAAGCCCAAGTCAATACTACAGCATTTTGCCTTTTCAGATGGGTACTCATTCTGGTCTGCTGTTAAAATACTTATTTTCCTCCAAAAACAATGAGAGGACGATGGAATAGACCACAAGGATCAGCCCCAGCCATCTCCCAGAAAGGAGCAAATAAACTGCACCAGATAAAAACTACTCTGTGTTAATCTCTAACACATGCAAGTGCCACACTCACCTGTATGAATAATGACAACTGAAATTACAGTTACCAGATAAAAAACCTGGGAGCAGGGAAAACTTCAAGGCCCTCAGAGCATTCACAGGATTTCAAAAAACTCTTAACTATAGACAGAGACCTTTGCAAGGAGGAAAAAAAAAGAGAAAACTCACCTGTCTGTTGCCTCAGGACCCTCTCCAGCCCAGCCAGACTGGGAATCACCCAGAACTCACCTGCTGACATTCAGTTCTTCCCAGGCCTTTCTGATTAAGGCAATGTGCCTCTGTACCAATTACCAGTTGAGTGACCCCAGTTAATTCTGCCCCTGGGTAAATGACCAGCACAGCTGTTGCTGCTCAAGCTCCAATTCCCCAGCACTGTTCCCTCCAAATTTCCTCGCTTTTCTCTGCTGTGTGCCCTCAACAGCAAACCTGCTCTGGGAGCCCACCCAGGGCCTTTGCTGCTGACCTGCTCTTGTTTTGTCAGCTGGGTGCTGGATGATGTTCTCCTGCAGGAGAGGTTTGGATTAGATATTAGGAAGAAATTCATCAGCGTGAGGGTGGTGAGGCCCTGGCACAGGCTGGCCAGGGGAGCTGTGGATGCCCCATCCACAGCTCAAGGCCACGTTGGATGGGGCTTGGAGCAATCTCGTCTAGTGGAAGGTGTCCCTGCTCATGGCAAGGGGTTGGAAGGAGATGGGCTTTAAGGTCCCTTCCAACCCAAACCATTCCGTGATTCTGTGACTAGGACCAGCTCCTTCCTGCCTTTATTTCGGCAGACCTGCATTTTCCCAAGCATGAAATATCT